TGTCTTTTTTTAAATATTTTTATTCAATTATGATATCATGATCATGAGTATCTTTGAAAAGTTAGATCATTGACCCGCCATCTAGATAAGAAAATAGCTTGGCTTTTGAATCAATTTTAAATTATACGTTTTATCAACATTATATAAATAATTTTTACTTATCACACTTAATTTTTGTTTGACATAATTAAGATATTATTTTTTATCTATTCTTTTCATTACTTGCACTTTTTTATTTTTAAAGATTTATTATTTAACTATCATATCATCGATTAATCATTTGACCCAAACCACTAACTCACTGCCTAAAAAGAAAAATAGAATATAATTAATGTATAATATTAAAAATGTATGCAATATTTTTACTTTTTATAAATATATAATAACAAATAAGTGCCCCAGTTTTTTTGCTAATTTTTTTCTTTATTTTTGTGATTCTTTGTATTTTTATTTCTAAAAATTCTCTTATTTGATTATGACATCATTTTATTTCTACGTTGATTTTAGACTTGACATTCCATTTTCATCATTAATAAAATTACTTATTACACATAATACTTGTTTTTTTTTGTATAATGAATATATAATATTAGAGATATGCCCAACTCTTTTTTCTTTTTTATTTTTTATATTTTATTTATTTTTAATTTATTATTTAATTATAGAATTATTGGTTATCCCATTTGACACAAATGGTTAAATTGCTTATCCACCACCATGAGCGAAGAAAATGATTTTGTTTTCAAATTAATTTTCAAAATATTTATTTTTATGCTATTAAAATTAATGTTGGGGCTTTAATTAGGCTTAGTTTGGAAGGAGTATAAATACAAATATGTACACTGAAAATACATGCAAAATAATACAAAATATAAGGTTTTGTACTCTACATATTTGTATTTGTACTACTGAGCCTTAGTAGAATTTAATGATGAGAAAAATATATCTTAAATATATGATTTAATGAGAGAATACCTTAAGTATGATATTTAATTAGAGAGAATAGGAAAAATAATTTTATTTCTAACTGGTTTTAAATTTTATATTCAATTTCTATCAGTAATTAAAGCATTTATTATTTATCATACTTATTGTTGTTTAATATGTTGAATATATCAGGTTAAAAGTGTCCCCTTTTTTTGATTTCTATATCTTTTTGCTTTTTATCTATTTTTGAATTTTATTATTTAATTGTGGCAACATGGATTGACCCATTTGACTCAAAATGGTTTAATTTCATACCACCACCTAAATGAAAACACTATTTTTAGGTATATTTTAAAAATATAAGTTTTTTATTATTATTGGAATTATTAATTTATTATGTATAGATTTAATTAATAGAATTTAATGATGAGAAGAAATAAAACTGCCTTAAATATATGATTCAATGAAGGTAAATGCAAGTTAACAACTTAAATGTTGGATTTAATGAGAGGGAATTCATGGCATTAAATATCTTAATATTATCTCTTTTCAACTTATTTAGTATCAATAATCGATTACTCTATTTGCCCTCTTGTTTTATCAATAAATTTAAATATGGAAGTGTAAATTTTGTCTTGAGGAAATTCTAGAAATATTTTTGTGGCTATTTGTGCTTTTTAAAGTAGTATAGATGTGGAGCCTAACTGGAATAGACAACAATAAACAAATTATCCTTGGGTTATGTATCTTGTGGTGCCAAACGTCATCTTGGAGGTGATCCACAAGGCTAGTGTTTAGTATTGATCTAATTCTTTCATTTACCATTCTAAAAAAAGATTTAATGTTTTATTAATTTTAAAATTCATTTTAACTATATAAGCAAGATGAGAAATATAGTGACCAAACTATTGGGTTGTGTTTGTTTTCGGTGTACACCGTCATTGATGGATTTCAACACCGATGAGTTTAAAATGAGTGAACCGTTGGAACTTTTTAAAATGTGATCATCGATGTAAAACTCAACCGTGCATCAGGTTTACATCAATTTTCGTAAAACTTATACTGAAAACAAACATATGAAAATACGAACCAAGAGTGGAGTTTTACACCGATCCCTATTTATACTGAAAACAAACACAACCTTATGGGAAATGAAATAAAGTAGGGAGGGGAAAAAAAAGAAAATACACCAGATCTAGAGAGAGAGACGAGGGATTACATATTAATAAAACGGTAAATTGCTTATATATCTTCTCTAAGGTTTCGAACTTCCAGTCCAATTGTAACTCGTAAGACTTTAGCTCTAATTTACTTAAGTATCGTTTGTTTGCACTTCTGAGGTGTGAAAAATGATATTTCAGACGTCCCAGATGATTGACGCAGTATGAAGAAATTGAAAATAGGGTTTCTTCCTATCAACTTGTTCAGACGTGTTTCATGAAAAATTTGTTTGAAAATAACATTTGACATATTGATATGAACCACATACCCATATTATTCATTCTAACTCTCACTAACACATTCCAAAATCTTTTTCTTTTGGGTATTAATCACTGCCTGACACTTCGAGGTTGTTACTCTTTTAAGTGAACAGTACAATATCTCGTTGGGGCAATTCGAAACCGCATAGATGATAATAGCAGGATTCGAAACTGCATCACCATTGGGGCAATTCATCCAACGCACCAAGTGAGCTATTCCTTAGATGGTTTTCCAATGCCTTAATTAAAAGGATAAATAGCCCAGAAATCCATAGCATGACTGATTCCTTGTCATATATAGCTATGGTATTAGATTCACAACTATGTAGAGAACTAGTGTTGCTGATTTTTATTTAGGAAAACTATAAATTTATTCAGGAATAGGGGTTTGGAACGGGGCTTTAATTGTTTGGTTGTGTAGAATTGGAATTGAAATCCCATCTTTATTCCTGGTGGAATGATATTCCCCCATTTGAGGAATGTCCATTTTCTTCCACTTTCTTGGGAAAGAGATTCCATTCCAGTTATTATAATTTTGATTTCAATTTCGGTTTTCATTTGAACCAAACAAACTATGGGAATGGACCATTCCGATTCCAATTTTAAAAGATTTTGATTCCGATTCCAACTCTAGGTCAAAGGAGAATGGTGGGTAAATGTCAACCACTAAAAGAGGAGTAGGTTTTGCATCCTTGCAACACTAAATCAATGGGAGCTTTATCTCAGGCGATCAGGTGATGTCGGGGACAGTTGACCTTGGGCTCATAAGCGATGATGTGTTCATTAGTCAATGGACAAAAATAAAGCAACAAATCACAAAAAATTATTATATTTTCAAATTTTCTCGAGCTTTTGTTGACAAAGAGGAAAGTATAGAAATTAAGTTAATAGCCAAGAGAATAAATGATCTTAGCGTGTGTAACACAAGAATACTCACTGATAATAATTTTTATAATAATTATTGCTAATACTTAATTACTGATATTAAATAATTATTGATAATTTATTACTGATAATATTGCTCATTATTAATTCGGAACGATAATTAATAACGATTTTCATAATGGTAATTAATAATTCAGAAATAATCATTTATATTTATATTAACTCATATTAATTATTTTGAAAATAAATATTTAATGCTAATTATTTATATTAGAATTATTATTAGAAATTATAATTCATATAGTTATATGAAATAATTAGTTATATTATTATTATTATTATCAATAATTATAATTAATTATTACTAATAATAATGATTTCTGATAAAAATTAATTACTGATTATAATTACTTACTGGTAATTAATTCCTTATTTATAATAATGATAATTATTATTTCAGAGTGTTAATTAATTAATGGTAATTAATAAGTATAATCATTTTATATTTATATTAATTATTTTATAAATATATAATTAGTGTTAATTATTTACATTATTATTATAAGTAATTATAATTAATGCTATTATTATAATTAATACTATTATTATAAAAGCGATTATTATTTCATTAATTAACCAAAAAATTAATTATAACAAATTATTTACTTAATATCACAAATTAAGTACATACATAATAAGAATATATTATTACTTAATTTAGTTTAAAGTTTACAATCATTGTCGATACTCATTAATAGTTAGAACTACAATTGTTATTAATAAAGAAAATACTTTATTAATTACAAACTTGATTTAACTTTTAGGAAGCAACCTAATTTAACTTTTAAAAAGAAATAACTCAAAATAGATTTATTAGATAAATAGTAAATACCAAATAAAGTGAGTTATTATTTACTAATAAGATCTCATTTAATATCTTAAATCAAATTAAAAAACATAAATTAATAGTAGATTTCAAATAAAATAGGTCAAATAAATTGATAATTACAATTTACAAAGATACAAGACCCATATTACTTTTTTTTTAATTTAATTTTTGATAACTGAATAGTAAACTTCAAACTAAAATTATACACACATTTTTACCCCGGGGTCATTCACTGGTTTATTACTTATAGCTGATCAAAGGGACTCGCGCCGGCGCGCCGCGAAGCTAGAACATATTTTCAATTTTCACCTGTGTATTTGGAAATGGGAAAACGGAAAAAGAAGGGAAAAAAAAAAAGAAAAGAAAAACGATGACTGCTCGGACTTCAGAGACAAAGAGTTAGAGGTGGAAAAAGAAAATGGAGGAGCAGCGGCGTTGCATCATTATTGTTACACCCTGAAAAGAAAACCCTAAAAGCGAAAACTAGGGTGAACGAGAAGAAATGGAGAAGAAGCATCCGCTTCCATGGCTCAATATGTTGGTCTCAGAGACGTTCTACCTCTCTCATTTCCTCCTTTTCTTCTCCTATTTTGTTGTTCGCGCCTCTGCCTCTCAAATGCTCTCACCAGACATTACCGATCGTCTCTTTCGTCGGGTAACTGTTTTGCACCCTTGATCCTATTATCTTTTCATCTATTTTATAGTAACTGGAGGAACCTTTCCTTTATCTTCTTATGTTAATTTGATTTCTTAATCTTTATTTTAGCCTTTGCTCCTCTCGTGACGCGTAGAAATGTTTACTTGTGTAGGAAATTCAAGTAATTCTGGCATTTTCAGTGTTGATTGCCATCAAGGTGCTGTTTCTAACTGAACTTTTTTTTTGGGAAATTTTAATATTAATGCGTTAATTGGTGATACATTTACAGAATTTTCATTTGTCAGGTTAAATGAATTCGGATTCTTTTATGGTTACGCAATTAATTTTTTTTTTCAAGTACCGCTTGAAAGTCTAGGACCATTATCATTACTAAATTCCCTTTTTCTTTTCCTAAAAAGAAGAAATGAGAAATCACTTTTAAAGCTTTTCCTGCATTACATAACTTCATGCTTTGTCAGCTTTAAGCTACAACTGGAAGGTGCCGATTCAATTGTGGTTAATTAAACTATGACGAAATTGAGATATCTCGACTTGCCTGATAAGTGTAACATCAAGATGGAACTTATAAAACATTTATCATCTTCCATCTATTATATAATGGACAAATAACAATGGAAAAGTTGTAAGGCAAACATTTTTGAAATGAATATAATCTCTAAAAGACTAAAGGTCAAAAACAGACGGGCATTAACAGCTCATACCATGAATGACAGGAAAAAAATTCTAAACTTCAAACGCGTCAACTTGTTTGAGGACTTATTATAACAAATCATATCCAAGTTACAATTTCCACTCCACCAAAGGTATACGAAATTTGGAAAACACATTTACCATAGTTTTGGATTTCAGCAGATGGTCAAAGAGGAAACTTGGGAGGCTTTCATTGCTGATACACTGTTATTTGCAAAGGTATGGGCACTTCATCTGCTGCTTCTGCAAGATTTTGAAGCATAAATACCCTTTGACTTTAGTGCCTTCCCATTCATTCTAATGATGTATCCATCACATTAGGCTTCATAGGATGAAAGACATTTTCCTTTATGTTTTATTTTTTTACTTTATTTCCCCATTTGTTAGTACTTTTTCCTCAACATGAGCTTTGTGTATTTTTTTTCCAGGTTTTTCTTCTCATGGTTGCTTTAATAATGGATTATCACTTAGCTTTATGTTATTTGGTGGGATTCTTAGGTAGGTTTCAGTGCCATATTTTTGTAAGTCAAAAGCTAGGAGAAAGCCCATTTGATTCAGAAAAAGGTCAAATGAAAAGCTTAAAATGCATCACTATCTGAGCATTATGTAGTATGCACAAAAATCTTGCCTTTATATAATGGATTATCCTTCTCACTGTCATTTTAATCATGACTTGTTAATTAGCTTTTTATTACATTGTTGGATTCTTAGGCAAGCTTTATTGCTGTATTTTAGCATATAGTCAAAAACAAGGAAAAACACAAAATTCAGGAAAGGTTAGGTACTCAGGATGAATCAATATCTCAGTATTTTGTGTGAAAGCTATGCATTCCTTTCTTATTGATTGTTTCTCTATAACAAGGCACTCTCTTTCTGAAGCTTGGCATGCATGACATCATGTCATTATCATTTAGGAAAAGCCTAATTTATCATAGATCTCTTCTCATACTGCTACCTAGATACCGATAACTAATTTTTCAGGTCTATTAACTCATTATAAGTATTCAATCTAGACTTAAACTATATAATTTTAGAAACTTGTTGACCAGAAAAAGGTTTGAGAAAGATGTCCCATATATAGTTCTTCACTCAATGCTTCCTTTTCATTCTTTCATTCATATAGTTATTCATCAACAAATACGAGGTTGGTAAGGTTTGCACATAGTATTGAGCTCAGCATTAAGTACATGATGCAATGATACTTCTTTTAATACATTGTTTTGGGTTGTATTCACATGTTCTGAAGATTCGATCTGGTGTCATTTCTTTCAGTGATATTTATTTCAACTCAACAACCAGCTTATCAGGGACTAGGTATGGTCAAACTTTGGCTATGCAATTAATTTATCTAATTTTGATATTTTGACAAACTCTTATAATCCGGCACTTCTTTTAGCAGTTTGAATCCTATGCAACTTAACCTATGATGGGTATATCTGTAACTCCAGTACTCCACTAACTTCTTTGAAGGAAATCCATGCATTTGACAAGAAAGACATGGAGAAATACTTGAATTATAGTGGAGACTTGGTTTTTGCTGATAAAGAGTTGCATCACCATGTTAGTTCCACATTTATTTTCTTATAAGCCATGCTACATGTTTAACTTATGTGATCTTCTTGCCTATTCATCTCTACCATCTATTCTAAGTCGGGTATCATTGAAATTCCTTTTTAACTATGGTTGAGCAGATTGGAATGACCCAACTCCAAGTCTAAGTATTCTTGTTTGTGTTGGAACCTCTAGTTAAAACTATTTGAAACCTCTCCAAATCATGTTATCAGTATCCCTGCCACTATAATTAATCATGTGGATCCCCATATTGACATTGTGTTACTTGATGGTAGTGATGCATCTAAAGTGACTCTTTTTTGCAAGTGAACTCTTAAATATCCATTAGAATGATTTGTCTTCTTGAAGATCATGTAAACTGTTAATAGTGGGCCTAAATAATGAGAGCCTAACTTTCAAAGTTAAGCAAGTAAATTAATTATTTTGTTGTTCATTAGAATGTTTCTGTTCTGTGATAGTCAACTTAATGCTGAATATGACTATATGAGTCTGTGGACATTGGTCATATACCATAATTTTATTATTTGGTGATCAGGAGCCTGGGAAGCAGAGGCTCGTTATCTTTTAATAATAATAAAATAAAAAATGAGGTCCTTGCCACTCATGCCACTGTTGTGCCGCTACCACCCTGAGTCTCCGGTGAGGTCCCTCCTCTGCTTCTTCTCCTCAGTTTGCTTTCTCTCTCCAGACATGCCCCCTTTGGCTAGGAGAGCCCCCATCTCTCAATGTCAGTAAACTAACGGTTGTTGTGCTATCACAGAAAGGGGAAGAGGAAGAGTCTACTGGACTAGATTAACCTTAGGTAAGGTGCCTGTGAATGCTCAGAACTGACCTCCTTTCTCTCTACTATTATCACTGGTCAAAAGTTACCTATGGATAGGAAGATCTCCATGAACAACCAACATTCAATCCTCCAATCAAAGGGTAATAGTTGGGGGAGATATGTTCAAGTGGCCTCTTGTAAAGGATCAAACAAAATTAGGGGCATCTGCATTCCAGAGGGTGTTAAGGGGCAAGGCTGGAGGTCCTTCTTGACATCCCTTCTCGAGGTGGGACAACCCCCAGTCCCCCTTCTTCTCCCCTACAGTCTTCAGCTCTCCCAACCCCCTTAGGCAAACAGACTCAAGAAAGTTTTGAATGAAGTGGTAGCCCCTACTTAGAGTGCCTTTGTTTAAGGGAGACAAATTGGGGATGGGGTTCTGGTTGAGAATGCAGTGATGGAAGATAGAAGAAAGAGAAGCTTATGTGGGGTAATTTGCAAAATAGATCTTTAGAAAGCCTATGACAAGGTAGACTGGAATTGCCTTTGGAGAATTTTGGAGCTTAAAGGTTTCGCGGAAGTTTGGATCCAGTGGATGAGAGGCTGCATCAGTTCAGCTTGGTTCTCAATCCTGGTTAATGGTTCTTCAGTTGATTACATCAAGGTCTCTACATGTTTAAGGCAAGGCTGCCTGCTCTCCCCTCTCCTTTTTACTTTGGTAGCAGACATTCTGGATGCTTTCATGAATAAAAGGCTATATAGATTTTGAGCATATAAAAGGATTTTCAGTGGGGCATAAGAACATCCAAATTTCTCATCTTCAATATGCAGATGGTACCATTTTCTTTATTGAAGCAAAGAAAGATTTTCTCTTAAATTTGGAGAGGATCTTGAAGTGTTTTGAAGGAGTAACAGGGCTGAAGACAAATTTAGAGAAAAGTAGCATCATAGGCATCAATACCCCCCAACAATTGATGGCAGATCTGAAGGATGCTTTGGGATGTAGGGTGTAATCTCTTATTCTCTCATACCTGGGGGAATCTGTGATCTGCAAGTTTTTGGGACACTGTCATTGATAAATGTGAGAGGCGGATGGGTACCTGGAAGCGGAACTATCTCTCCAAAGGTGGTAGACTAACTCTCATCAAGGCTACACTCTCAAGCTTCCCTATCTACTTTCTCTCACTTTTGAAAGTACCAGCTAAGATTAGGAATAGATTGCAGAAAATCCAAAGAGATTTCCTATGGGAGGGAGGAGGAGAGAAAGGTTGCCACTTAGTGAACTGGAAAACTGATCGCAAGCCCAAAAAAGGTGGGCTAGGCTTGGGACACATCTGGGAAAGAAATCAGGCTCTCCTTGGGAAGTAACTTTGGAGGTTAAAGATGGAACAAAACTCTCTGTGGGCCTCAGTCATCCGCAGCAAATATGGTAGAAGTAGTTGGGGATGGGGCAACTCTCTTCCTTTACCAACTCCTTCCTCTCGAAATCCTTGGAGAGGTATTATATAGTCCTTTGCTTCTTTTTCTCCCCTTCTTAGACTGAAAGTTGAACATGGGAATACCATTAAATTTCGGGCAAACCTTTGGTAGGGAAATAAACCTCTCTGTGATCCCCTTTCTTTTTAGGTTAGTGCGTGATAAACAAGCTTTAATTTCTGCAACCTTGATAAGAGGATCAGAGGGCCTCTTCTTCAATTTCAACTTCTGTAGAGAGTTGCAAGACTCAGAAATTCCTGTAATTACTTCCTTACTCTCAATGCTCTCAGAAGTTTTCATCTCTCCCTCCACTGAGGAAAAGCTCATCTGGTCATTAACCCCACATGGTTCCTTTACTATTCTTTCTTTCTTTCACCATCTAACTTCCAACCCAACCACCTCTCCTTTTCCGGGCAAAAAGGTTTGGCTACTGACAGTCCCTCCTAGAATTTCCTTCATGGTTTGTGAGGCTTCTTGTGCAAAGCTGAATACCTGTGACAACCTCCAAAAGAAGTTTCAAGGAAAACTCTACATCTCTCCATCTATTTGTCTGATGTGCTATAATGATGGGGAATCTGTTAGTCATCTTTTTATCAATTGCATTGTGGCCAGAAGTCTTTGGCAGTTTTTTCTTGACTCTTTAGCAAGGGGCTGGACTCCCCAGTATTCTGTTATAGAGTTTATCAACTCTTGGCAAGGGATCAAGATTAATTTGGACAAGAGAGGAAGTTGCTTCTGGAAAGTAATTATCCATGCTGTCATGTGGAACATCTGGGAGGAAAGAAATAGGAGATTATTCAATGAGAACTACTCCTCCTTGGAGACTCTTAGAGATCGTACCCTAGCTAATATCAACAGCTGGATGATGAATAGTAAAGTTTTTGAGGGTATCAAACGGAGTAAACTGCAAAGGAATTGGATGGCTCTATTGTCAACCACTCCCTTTCACCCTCAGCCCTTATTTAAAATCAACCCAACACAAGATTGTGAGTACATTCTGAACTTTGATGGTAACTTTAGGAGAGCTATGGAGGGTAGCTCAGACGCAGGGATAGGAGGTTTGGTTCATGGATCAAACGGAGAATTGATCTGGGCCTATAGTGGTCATTTAAAGGCTGTTGATGCATCGGAAGCAGAGTCTAGGGCCCTCCTTGAAGGCCTCAGAATTGCCAAGTCGCAACAGCTTAGTTTCATTGCAGTGGAAAGAGATTCGAGGAATTTTATGAACTGGGCTTCTTGATAGACTCTTGACCTTTGGATGCTTTCCCACCTGCTGTTAGAAATCAGGGATGCTTTCCCACCTGCTGTTAGTTTCATTGCAGTTTTAAATGCATTCCTAGAGAGTTAAATCAAGTGGTTGATAGTCTTGCTCTTGCTAAATCTGGACTGGGAAGGGACTTTTTGTATAGTGCACATACAGTACCAAATTATTAGTGGGCTGTCTTTTGTTTTTGTTTTGCTGACAAGGCCTTGTACATCCCTCCCTTGTTTAATGAAATCAGTTATTTTTTTCTCAAAAAAATAAAAATAAAAATAAAAAATTAGGACATCAAATTAAATGGTGTTGCTCTATTGATTTCATGAATCTAGATACAGGTGATTGAATTTCTATCAGTAAGATATGTATTATTTGCCAAGTTGTTGGCATGACCTAGTTGTAGTTGTAAGGGGATACTTTAGATCTTCCCAATCTTAAGAGTGCGCACAAGAAAAAGGAGGCCTATGGGTTGGCAAATGAACAAGGTATTTTTTATTGATAACAGATCGAGCCAAATCTATCAAATAATGAAAAGGCAAACCCAAAGATGAATTGCCATTAGAGAACTGAGGTACTGGTATAAAACCATTAACTTCTCCTTCCCAAGCAATAAAGAAAGACCATTGCACTCTCAAGCACTTACAGTAATGTGGCCTCAGCTGCAGTATCTGGCCCCAGTAAAACTCTTTCTTCTTAGGCCCTTCAGCTAGGCTGCTAGAGTATTAACTTGTCTTTGGGCCCAAATGAAAGAGATATTTACTCTTCAGGGTAGTGGCTGAGTCTCCTTAAAGTTTTTCTGCCTTTCATATCCTTTTTACCTCTGATTGGGCATCCCCCTCCACTTCTAATATATATGCTGACTGTAGCCCCTCAAGGAGCCTTCTAATTCATTGATGTTCTTTGTTCAATCATGAGGTCACAGGATCACAACATACTTATGTGAGAAAATAAATTTATTGAATTTGTATGCTGTCACATGGTAAACGGATTTCTAGTACTCAACCATAAATAATTTCCTCAACTTGCTCTGCTCTTTGGAGAATATTTTGGAATCATTTTTACTGTTATGACACTTCAAACTCTTGGGTTATAATCACCCAGGCATGGAAATATTTTATAGATACAGGCATGGATGAGTTATCATTCTTACTTGAGAATTTTGTCCTTGCTAGTGTGTTACAAGGAACTATAAATTTCTATTCTCTAGATGTCCTGGCATCATATTTCTTTGATCGTCAATAGCTAGGACACCACTCATCACTTAAGTCATTATGCTGACAAATGTGAATACAACTTAACTAATAAATATGGTATGCTCTCTTCGATATCTATTCTTTTAGGCAATTCAAACCAGTTGACCCCATTGCAATTGGAAGCCTTGTTGACAGAAGGGAACACATCTAGATTCTGGCTGGTTTGTCCTACAAACTTGTTCATCAATTTGGAAATTTATAATATTTTTTTGAAGTCTAAAACCCTAGCCTTAGTTCAGAATATTGAATGCCATTAGCTTACAAGTTAAAAGGAGGTTAGCCTTATGAATGTGCTAACCCAGAAAACTAGTTTGATGATTTGGTGGCTGTGCTTGGTTCTTTGATAATCACCATCTTGATGATTGGCTAGGGCAGCAAATGATATATGTTTGTCCAAAAATGATCTCTATATAAATGGATGAAATATGGGTCCACCCAATCTGATCTGTTACAATCAGACCTAATAATATTTAAGCATATATACTTGTATCTTTTTTATTTTCTGGGAAAGATATATGCTTATATCTGATCTGCATATATGTTTATATCTAAAAATAAAATTAATATACATTTATTAGTAAAATTTGTTTGGATGTTGTAAGTATACTAAAGAGTCATAAATCCATGCCTCATGGAAGTTATTTTATTCATGATATGCAACATCATATCTTTTTTAGTTCATTTTAATTAATAATATAAAGTGTTATTATAATTTTTAGTTTAATTTTTAATGGTATTGGATATTTGAATTCAATCCAAGTCCTATCTGAATTCAATGGACGGTATTAGATTCGAATCTGATTATTAATGAACCAAATTTCAATTCAGGCACCAAGTTGATCCAATCAGTTGTAGCCCTATGCATCCATATTTCTAAATTTTGGGAGCTCAACTTCTCAACTCAAAGGTTTCTCTAAAGAAAGCTAAATTTATTTGTCTCACTACATTAATTCATACAGAAAATTTTCCGTTTAAATCTAATCCCATTACTAATTAAATTGAATCATTGAATACACCAGAGGTAGAGCCGGGGGCAGGGGGTGTTGCTCCCTAACTTTTAGGAAATCACATAAAATGGAGGGGTGCATCTGCAGTCTTATGTAATTGGTAAATACTACTTAGGCTCAAAGGAAAAATTCTGTAAAACAGTTGCAAGGCCAGGAATGTTGTATGGAGTGGATACCTATAAAAAAGGTTGTATGGAGGCAGAGTGTTGGGCAGTCAAGAAATAAAATGTCCAAAAAATGAGTGGCAAAAATGTGAATGTTGAGATGGATGAGCGGAAAACTGGAAAGGACGGGGTTGTAAATGAAGTCATTTGAAGGAACCTAGGAGAAGCTCCAATAGGTGATAAAATGAGAGAAAGTAGACTAAGATGGTTTGGTCACATATAGAGAAGACCATCTACAATACCTGTCAGAAGAAGTGATCTGTTACAAGTTGAAGGGGCTAGAAGAGCTAGGGGGACACTGAAAAGGGCATGGGTTGAAATAGTAATAAATGATTTAAAGTGCTCATAATTTAAGAATGGATATGGCAATGAACAGAACAGAATAGTGAAACAGGATTCATGTAGCGAACTCCATATAGTTGGGACAATGCTTAGATGATGACGGTATCTTTTGTAGCAAAAAGCAGATTACTTCTCAGGCTCTACAAAGCACATTGAGGCACTTTCTTGATTCCTGCAGTTATCAACTAGAGAAAAGAAAATTCATCATCATCATCTAAGCCTTGTCCCAACTAAGGGCATAAATTTACAGCCTACATGATGAACTTGCTTAATAAACATTCCCCCTGGTATTTTTACACAAATTGCAAATACAACCAAGGCATATGGGTCTAATAACTGTTATCAATTTATAAATCTGTAGCTTCATGATCCGAGCTTCCCTAATTTGAAGTAACCTGATATTTTCCTAATGCAGTGTCTTTTCAGGATTTTGACTCTTGCATTGTGTACTTTTGTATTATTCCCATTAATGATTTGACCTTGACATGATTATATGTAAGCACATTATGTGGTCTTAAGATTATGCTTCCGATGTAATGACTATGTGGATGTTTGGCAGGTTGAATTTCGAGCTTTGTGTTCATCCACTTCCATACGCACAAGCCGTATATTTCCTGATCTCTCAATTACGTGAGTTTTCTGCCCCATATTCCACAATCCACATCATAAATTAGTTTTGGGGTACAAATGTAAAATGCTAGGAAAACCAATCCAAGTTTATTTATAAAAAAAGCTTTTGCAAAAAATTTTAATTTATCCAAAAAAAAAAAAAATCCACTTTTCACTTCCTGGTGTCTGGCTTTGTAGGATTCCACATAAACCAAATAATACTTAGTTACGGGCTACCAAATAAAAGTATAGTATATCATCTCATTGATACTGTTTTTCATAAGGTAGTATAATATTTCTCTACCACCTCAAGTAAATATGGTACCCTAGGCAACTGCTGAAACTCTGTTGCTGCAAATATTAATTTGGCCCGGTTTCAATGCTACTAGTCCAACCGTTAACCTTTTCAAGCAGGTAACCTGTTTGATTGATCCACACAAGGCCTTTTCTCTTTGTATCATATTTTGTATCTGTATGTGATTACCATTCCTCACTCATGTTGAGCTGTTACAAGTTTTCTTGCATAATCATATTCATTTTTTCTGGCAGATACTCAAACAAAAATTTGTCTTTTGGAATAGTAGATCTTGGGCTCTTCCCAAATGCTGCAGAAAAATTTGGAATATCGTTGGGTGGTAAATACTTCTTTGATTTACTCTCTCTCTCTCTCTCTCCATTGTGTCGGGGGTGGCGGGAACAGTTCATGAGTTTAATTAAGGCATTTCTAAACAATTTTCTGTATTTTTTTTGAAAAGAATTATCACAACCATACATTCTGGCATGGTTTTCAAAACCAGACCGGACGGTTGGACCGGAAAAACCGGGAACCCGTCACCTGACCGGTTCCGTTTCCCCGAGAACCGCTTTTTTCCCCAAAACCATTGATTTTGGTCAGCAAACCGCTGAACCGGCCGGTTACCCGTTTTTCAATTTTTTAATTTTTTTTTGTCAGAACGGGCCAACCATTCAAACCGGTAACCGGACCCCTGACCGGTTCGGTTTCAAAAACCATGTATTCTGGTGTGGTTTATAGTTGAACAGAGCAACATTAACATTGCACTTGCAGGCATAGCAGCCGAACTTCCAACATACATATTATTTGACAATGCAGTGGAGGTTGCACGCTTTCCTGGGATAGAGTTTGAAGCAAAAGCTTCTCGCCCATCTATTACTAAGGTATTCCTGTTAACTATTTACATATGCCAGAAGGAACAATTAATCATAAGATGTGTCAGTTGACTAACCTTTTTTGAACACCCCAATACCAAAAATAGGGCTCATCCCTTTTCGAGAAAGGGTCATACCCCTAATCATTAAATGATTTTTTTTTTTTGAGAATAGGTAAAGTATTTCATTAAAGAAGAGAATAAAGTTCAGGGAGCCTGCACAGCAAGACACTGAGCAGGAAATCAAAAAAGAAAACTTTATACATCCCAAGGGCTTCTATTCAGCTAGACACAAAAATGTTGCAGCTGTCAAAAAAAGTGTTGTAATGAGTGTTCTTGAATAATTTGTGAGAAGCCACCCAAGAATAAATTCTTCCCCAAAAATTTTTAGCACTGAATCAACTGAATTGTATTTGTCCTCAAAAAGCCTCTTGCTCCTCTCTGTCCTCCACAGAACTGCTGGTGGAATCCCCAGATGACTTTTCCTTTTTTTGATAAGCCAGCTAGGTTCCATCTCCAAAGTAACTCTAATAGACCTTTCGGGAAGCACAAAGACATCTCAAAGCATCTCAAAGCCTTCAGCCATAGCTCCCTTGCGAACTTGCAGTGAAGAAATAAATGCTCCAAGTCTTCAGAGCTTTTCTCCACATATTACACATTTGCTAGGTTCCATCAGCCTTCCTCTTTTTGCCAGGTTATCAGCAGTCAAACATTTTCCTAGAGAAGCAACCCAAGTGAAGAAGGCAACTTTGAGTGGGGCTGCAGTTTCCAAATTTTATTTGAGGGAAGCTAGTCCCTTCATTAGAGCAAAGTCTGTTATAGAAAGTTTTTATTGAGAAAAAACCCGAGCTTTCCCATGCCCAAGCTCTTTTGTCTTGTATTGAAAATCCAACCTGATAGCACTCAGAAGACGCATCAACTCCAGCCAAAGCTCTACTTCCCAGTCATTTAGATTCCTTCTGAAGGAAGGGCTCCAAACTCCAGTTCCTTGATTCTGTGAAATAGAAAAACAGTTTTTGTCCATGCTAAATGTGCTTTCTTTGCCTTCTCACTATGGAGATGCCAGGTTTATCCAAAATGGAATGTGCCCAAATCTGTCCTTATTTTTCCTGTTAATCTTTGTAGACTAGTTTATGCCCTTCAACAAGTCTCTTCTCTATGTTAGTTACATCTTGATCAAGCCTGCCCAAGGATAAACTAAAATGTTTTTCCTGATTGATGTTTTTCTGAAATCAAATATAATAATTTTATGTGTGGACATAAGCATAATAAATGTGAAGAACTTTGGCTTGCAGTTAATACTTCTGTTGTTTGCTACAGAATTGTAATAGTTTATTTATTTATCTTTTATTTTTTATAGGTAACTTGTAACCTTTAATAATATTGATTGAAGAGAATTATATCTACAAAGATGAGATGTTCAGGCCAGTACTACAGTATTACCACCTAACCTTGTAGGCCTATAATTGAAATTACAATTCCTCAATTGACTAAGTCAAAATACAATTGTTCCCTGGTTGCCCCTCTACCTTTGCCAAGGAATCAGAAAACCTGTTTGCTTCTCTGTGCACTCAACAAAATGTAGCCTGAAGCACCCTTGCTAGTTGCTGCACTACTGCACCTCCCTAAGTAGGGATGCAAACGAATTGGATTGGATTCAAATCAGGGTATATTCGAATCCGATCCGACATTGTTCATGTTGGATCCGATCAGATCTGATAGGACTTGATCTTAATTCGAATCCTATCAGATCTTCGGATCTGATTTGATCCGATTTGTTTTCTTTAAAAT